TTGATGTCCGTGCAGCAGTTTGTATATAATGAAAAAAAGAATCATTCCATAAAAATGAACACACAAGATACACAAGGTATATAGGAAGCGAAAAAGAGAAACACACAGCTGCACATTAAACGTGCAATGAAATTATAATGAAACACACAAACAAAAGGAAAAAGCATAATAATGAAAAGAAAACAAAAAAAAAAAGCTGTGATCACCATGTGAATATGTTCAGGAGGCAAGAACACAATTCCCAACAGTAGGTGTGTGTGTGTGTCTTTCGTACAGGGCAACCAGCGGGAATGATGCACACAAACATCATGACAGTCCACACACACACACAAGGAGAAGGAAGGTTGGTAGTGTGCGTGTTTGTGTGTCTTGAACCTCCTGCCATTCTTCACATTTCAGTCACAGTCATTAAAACATGTTGGGGAAATATCCCATTCCCACAGGTAAAAGCAATAGTTATTAATATTACGGAACACACACACACACTTCACTAGGCGGGCACAGTAAATGGAGGCAAAACAGAGCCCAGATAATGCCAACAAACAAAGAGGACACTCCCTTACACAATAACGGTTTGTCTTCTGATGAGCGCCATAGGGAGTACAGTAAATGTGTTCAGCAAAAAAGTGTAAATAAGAGACTCATCAAACAGGATAATAATATTTTTTTAAAAAGCTCTGATATTCAACCAAAAAAAAAATGCTCTTACAATGCATCCATATCCACTCAAACAAAGACTAACTGTGTAGCTGTGTTACGGGAACAACGATCAGCAAACAAGAGTGCAGCCCAGCACACACATCAGAACAAGAAGCAGCAATAAGGGACTGTGCACCAATGCAGGACTGCTGCTGCCGTCACTTAACTGTGTAACATTCAAATGGATTGAAGCTGAAGAAGTATTAGTTAGCATATTTTGAGATTTTAATATTTCAGCAGCGGTTGAGTTTTTAGTTGTTTCGCTTTCGTTCGTAGAACCTCCGGCTGTGTCATTTTCTTTTACTCCATTATTATTCTGTTGCTCCACAGTCCATATATTTTTTTCTGTGTTTGGTCCATTTTCAGCTGTTGTTATCATCGTTCCGTTTTCCTCATTTTTGTTGATTTGGCCTTCTGAACTCCTTTCAGCTTCCGTTGTTTGTTTCTCCTCTGGCTCGTCATTTTTTGTTACTGAATCATCTTTGTTTTGTTGTTCCGCTTCGGCAGCTTTTTTCGCTTCTTCTGCTGCAGTCGTTGGGCTGTGAATAGCTTTCTCCAGAATCTTCACGGTTTTTTTCAGTTCTTTTTCCACTTTCAGGGCATTAGCAACCTCCTCCTTTGCGGCTTGGGCGTTATTCTTCACCTCGTTTGCATAGGTTTGTGCAGCAGAAGATTCATCCTCAGCTGTCTTTGCCTCCCCAATAACCTTCGTCGAAGGTTTATTGTCTGACTCCATCGTTTCATTTAGTGAATTCACATATGGCTTTAAACTGTTAAGCAAACTCGTAGAGATTCCTAAAAGTTTGTCTGCGGCAGCAGTAGCAGCCTCAACCTTTTTATTCACATCATCTGCAGCATTTTTCACAACGCCTGCGGTCTCAGTGCACTTTTTCACAAGTTCGTTGGCTTTCTTCTTCTTATCGTCAGTGAAAAAAGTATCATAATCAACAAAATTCTTTAATCCACTTTTAATCTCTTCAGCAAATATTCTGCACTCATTCAAGACACTCTGAGCACTTTGAGCTGCTGCAATGCACACTTCCTTTGCTTTGTTCATTAAAGAGACCTTATTCTCTGTATCCTTTTTACCTTCTTTCATCTGAGGTGTCAACGCTTTAATTTTCTGTGAAATTTTCACATCCTCATCTGTCATAGGTTCATCATCAACTTCTTCAGCGTGAACCACACACGCACAGAAGTGCAGAAGTACCAACAGGTACACCACGCGGCGCAGTTGGACGAACATCGTTGTCATGATTGTCACTGTGGGTTGCTTGGGTCTGTGGTAACAAGGAAGAAGAGAAAGAAACAACAAAAACACAAAGGGCAATGCAAACACAACATCTACACAGACACACACAGGAAAAGCAGCGCAGTACATGAAGCAGAAAAGAGAATAAGAGAAAAGAAAACAAGAAGAAATATTCCCATCAGGTGCAGAACAAACCACACCAATGTGACTGCACTCCACAGTCACACAGACATGTCTCTTACCAAACCCCAATACAATTAATACCCGTGTATATATAAACATATATAAAGAAAAGATCAATGAATTATTTCACTCCCTTTTTGGGAGCCTGCATCACCCAATAAGTACATTTAGTACAAATGAGTATGCAGTCAAATGCCCAACAATATAGTTACAGTGAGGGAAAGGGAGACAAACAAAACAAAAAGAAAAAAACTTACACAGTGAATTCAATTACAACAAAAAAAACAAGCACACACAAGAGAGGGAAAAGTATATATATATCAATAGCTCTGCAGATGGCTGCGCACACTCGCAGGTGCAGCACAACAGTCCACCATCACAGCAACACACCACACGTGTGCATGGGAACAGCCAATGCTGCAGAAGGGAAACAAAAGTATATAAGCCAGGGGTGGCGCACAGAACCCCAGCAAAGAAGTATAATTAATAAACAAGCACACATGCCTATAAGGCTAATAGACCTCAATGAACCCCAGTCAAGCAATCATCAAACTGCCAGTGTGTCCCTGCGCTGCAATATCAATCAACCCACGGGCCATGCAGAGAAAGATACACGCAAAGAATATAGAGGGATTCACCTTCGCCATGCACACGTCTACCAGCAGCTTCCATTAGAACACCGCAGTGCAGCCCAGCACACACATCGAAACAAGAAGCAGCAATAAGGGACTGTGCACCAATGCAGGACTGCTGCTGCCGTCACTTAACCGTGCGACAATCGTACGCAAGACATCCTTCGGGTGGACAGTAGCTGACGGGGTAGTTACTGCTCCATCCACATTCCTTGTTGTGCGTGGCTTCTCAGTTGTCTTAGGCTCTTCTGTGGTCACCTCGGGCACTTCAGTCACTGCGGGTTTTTCAGTCACTTCGGGGGCTTTAGTCGCTTTGGCGCCGTTGGTCCCTTCGGTTTTTTCGGGCACTTTGCTCACTTTCTCAGACGTTTGATTATTTTTCACATCTTGCGAAACATTCTCTGGTACCTTTGCCGTGGTTGGAGAAATTTGTATTGGAAAGAGAGCTTTGACCCGATGTATAAGATTTTCAAGCTTTCTCATTTTGTTTTCCGCACTTACAGCTTGCGAATTCGCCTCCCTCTCAAACTGAAAACACTGTTTACCGGCGTGAATGGCACGTTCCTTGAGTGTCTCTGCCTTTTTCCGTTTCCTCTCGCTCTTTCGAGCGACCATCTTTTGTTTGGTCATGTTGACTTCCTGCTCTTTTGTATCATTAATTGCAATTAAATATCTCTCCAACGCAGGCTTATGAGCCCATATCAAACTGCTCAAATTGTCATACGCCTCATAAAAAGAATTGCCCAACTCCCTTAGCGTGGACGCTGATCTTCTCAGCTTGCCAACAGCATCCCTGACTTTTTGCACTGCATCTGTAGCATTCTTTAGCAACCCTTCAGTTAGATTCCCAGCGAGATCGCTTACATTCAGAGTGCCCGCTCTTTTCTTCTTTATCACAGTTTCAATCTGTTGGCACATATTATCGGCTTCCTCTGCAGCAGATTTGGCAAGTTCAGTATTATTACTGAATAATTTCCTTTCACGCCTCCATTTAAACAAGTTAACAAATGTGTTATTACGTGTGGCATTAATATGACTTTCAATATATCTTAATCTTTTTTCCTTGCTTAATACAACGTCTTTTGCAGATTCCTCCACACTTTGCGCACATGCCACACAAGTAGAGAAGTGCAGAAGTACCAACAGGTACACCA